GCACTTCTCTCCTTTAACCTTTATTGATATAAAATGGTTTCCACCAGGCATTTTACGACTTTTCAATAATATCTAAAATATCGTATTGAAAAAACTCCGGAAGTATATTGTATATATTTGTGCAAATTGTGCGAATTTTAGGAACGAAGTAAATTATTATATAAATTAACAATAGCCTAAATAATCTTTTATTTAACATAAAATAATAAAAGATTTTAGCTTAAAAATATTACAATTAAAATTTATTACGAATATTTACAATTGATTAATGATTAAAATGCCATATTTACTAAACCTGAGCTCGGCCCTAATCCTATATCTATATAAAAAAAATAGAGAAAAAAAATACCGATTTGATTTTATGATCAATTCCGATTTTCAATATTTAAATTTTTGGTTCCCGTTCTAAATCGCTAAAACAAAAATCGCTTAAAATTGGGAACCTGGCTTATATCTCCTTGAAAATTTTTAAAGTAAATTTGAAATTAATATTAATAGATACTAAGGGACTAAACACTTGTATTTAAATTGAAAATTTAAAAAAATCGCTAAAATGGAAGAAATATCATCCAAATATATTATATAATTTTAAAGGTGCTGTAAAAGAAATTTAAATGACTCTTCTAGCTCAATTAAACCCAAAGATATTTAAAATTAAAGGGAGAGCATTTTCCCCAAAATCCCCAATTTTTTCGACATATAGAGCCCCATATCTCAGCCGCTGCTTGGAGTTGGAAGCTAAAATTTTATTTTTTTCTTAGTTATAACATATGCAACCACTAGTAAAAAATTTTAAAAAATTTGAAGGGGTCAGGTTGAGACACATGTATTTGACATGGAATTCACCATATAATAAATTTTCTTTAATTATTAATTTGAATGAATTAAAGTATTAATAAAAGATCTGGATAATTTTTATGATATTAAATGAATTAAAGCATTAATAAATCCATAATTTTTATGATATCATCATGAGTAAAGGTATAATTTTTAATATTATTATTTTTTAACTATATACATATTTTTTAATTTACAGATATAATATTAATATCTCCGACTTCTTTTTTTTTATTCCTGAAAGCTTTATTATTAGAATAAGCTGTGGCTTTGAATCAAAATGATCATCATTTTTTTAAATTATCTAAATTTCCAATGCAGTTAGAGAATATTTTTTTTAAACAGCATATACTAGATCAGGAATTAGAATCCCTTAATAATTTGCAAATATTAAATAAACTCATAGTTCCTAGATATAAAAACATTTTATTTCATCATTTTGCGAGAAAAGAAAGCTTAAATTTAATAATATTATTAATTAGTTAATTAAAAATATAATAGTTTTAGACCAAAACATAATTTCCTTTTTTTATAAACTTTTATATTTTCATGAATTATACGGGATTATTTTTAATTTATCTATTCTTCAAAACTTTAAAATTTTTAAATATATTCAAATTCTGTTGAACATTAAACCGCTCTTTTTTTGTTATATAAAAAATATACAAATTAAATTTTTAAAAAATGCCGGAAATTTTTAAAAAATGCCGGAAATTTTTAAAAAATGCCGGAAATTTTTTTGTTACTTTATTTTCTTATTATATATTATTATTACAAAAATTGTTTAATATAAATTTAATTTTTTACATTCATTTATTTATGAACTTAAACAATAGCTAATTATTTTTATATTATATCTTTATGAAAGATTTTATATCTTGCAATTTATATTTATATGCGATTTAAATAAAATATAAAAAAATTTCATAAATATATGAAATATTTAATCTTAAAATTATTATAAACTTAGACTTATTAAAATAAATGCTATTTTGCAAATGGCGATTATTTTAAAAATGTTTTTTTAATCGTTAGTGAAATGCCCTCCTTGATATTGAAGACCCAAAAAATAAGCAGCATTGTGATCAAATATATTTTTATCGTTTTTTTTATTTTTTTCAAACATATTTTTAATCTTTTTTTCTTTCGATTTTTTTAGAGTATTTGAATGTATTTGACCAGGTCAAACACTTCCCAGGTCAATTGACCGACTTACCAACCCTGATATAGATACATGTTAAATATTCGGTATGACCAACTATGAATCTTTATTTGAATTAAAAGTAAAAACAAATTAAATATAATAAAATAATTATAATATTAGATATTTTTTTTATAAAGATAAGAGCTTCAAGTGTATGTGATAATAAGTTTCTCTGTGAGGCCTGTCTATATATAGTGTTGTTAATCAACTTATTTGAGCTGATTTTTAAAAATAGTTAACTCGTACGAAAAATGTCATACAGGCCTGTGTTTTGAATAGATGGCATAAAGGTTTGGGCATCCATTAGCGATCTCGAGGTATAGGCAATATATTTTGGTTAAAATAATGAGTTAACCTTTTTTAAAATCGGCTCAAATCGAGCCATTTAACAAGACTATCTATATCACGAGCTATGCAGAAGACTGATTCTGATGAAAAATTTGTTGCAAGAGATGCCAGATACTAATGTGCAAGATTTGCCAAAGTTGTAAATTTCTGACATTAACCCTTCAATAATCAAATTGTTAATTAATCAAATTAAAATTTACATGATTTTTATTTACTATAAGTTCTTTCATGATTAAAACAATGAAATAAACAATAGGTACACAAAAATTTTGGGAATTTTCTGTTATATTAGTTTATTAATATACTTTACCTCTCATATTATTAAAAAATGGACAAAAAAAACTTATTTTCACTCTTTTTATGAGAGTTATGAAGATTTATTATAACAAAGGGATTTTTGTTCAAAAATAAATAAAAATATGCATAAAATCAATATTAGTTAAATTTAAAAAAAATATGGGCCAATCTGATATTTTTTCTAAAAGTACAATATCGGCACTGATACAATACCGATATTTAATATCGATAGAGCCCTATAAAGATATTAAATTTTTATTAATCAATTTTAATTAAAAAGTGAATGATGTTATAATTTTTCTGATCAAAAATTAACTCTTATCTGGTTACAATATTTTAAAAAAAACATATAATTTATACCTTTATTAGGGATTGAAATAATAATATAATAAATTTTTTAGAAGAATTATCATCAAACAAAAAAAATAATTTATTATATTCGATTCATCAGGCCTAACTATAATACAAATAAATCTTATTTAATGAATAAAAAAAAATTTATATTTACATATCGAAAAAAGGTTATTTCTATGATATAATATATTATAATAAAATATAATTTTTAGAATAATATTTATATAATATACTATATATCACACCAAATATTCTATCATAAAATAATAATACATTTCATATAAAGTAATTTGCACATTGACAGTGGTGTATTTGGGACCCATTTTGGGGATTAATTTACCCTCAAATTTTTTTTGTTAATTTTAGATTTGGATACTCTTTTGCCATTTTTTGAATGGGTCCCAAAAGTAAATCCTGGATATGCAACTCTATATTGACCTTATTTCATATATTAGTGGAAAACAACAGTTTAGGTTCATCACCCTAAGATAAATCCAGTTATTTTGTCAGCCAAAAGTTTGATATAAAATAACTAGATCCAGTTGGGTTTTAAGGTTGATTTGTATATAGCAACTACTTTTTTAGAAATTTTTATGGTTAGTAGTGATCAGAGCCCAGACTATTGACCTTTCCTAGTGTATATTAATTAAAAGACAAATTATTTGGGCAGTTATTTAGTGTGAAGTGGGCAGTAAAATAAATCAAAATGGGCAGTAATCTAATTAAATGGGAAGTATAAATTTTTGAGCAGTTAATATTTAATTTTGAAGTTTTTTATTTATTCAGGTATAAAATATATAGATAGTTTTAAAATAATATAACAAGTATTTAAACTTTTGGTCATAAATAATTTTCCAGTTTTTTTTATTTATGGGGAGTTTTAATTTTTACACCATTTATTTTAGATGTAATTTAGTTTAAAAAAATGAGGAAAACAATGTGCTGCAAGAATTTATCTTCTTTATAAGATATAACATTATACATATCCTTAAAATTCCTAGTGATATAAAATTATAAATAGAAACTATTTAAAATGGCTCTCAAACCTAAAATGATTATGGAACATTTACATTAATAAAATTTAATATTACCTTCAATAAATCAAATAAAAATTTTTTTAATGAGACAAGGGATGTAAAACAACATTAGATTAAAATAGAAGTATTTATCAGATGCTGCAAAAGCCATTAACAATGCTATAAAACCATTGACAAAGGCTTTACTTTGGTTTTTGGTCAGGATCTAATTTTTGATATATTTATTAATTTTTATATATTTGATATGTTAATTTTCATAAAATATTCTTGATAACTTATAATAAAAGAGATATTTGTATAAATACTTAAAAGGTTCTTGTTTTACAATAACATGAGGTATAAAAATTTTCAATAAATACTGCAATTCTATAAAAATTTGATATTTTATTTAATTCAGTGACTTTTTCATATTCAAATAACATACTTGATAGCTAATAATAAAATAATATTTGTATAAATAATAAACCACTTTCAAACAATACAATTTTAGTTACAATTCAACATAATTTTTTTTAGTGCTCAATATTATATAAATACTGCCACATTGTTTATTTTTCTGATAAAAGAATACTGTCCATTTTGATTAATTTACTGCTCAAAAAAATCACAGCCTATTAATTATATTAAATAACTTCCAAAGAGAAAATCATGCTCAGTAATCCTGATTTTAATTTCAGCATGCCACAAGCCAAAATTATAAGAAAAAGTAATGGTATACTGCTTATTGTTGACAAATGGCCTATATTCAAAATTTCTGCTGGGTTTCATAATTATGCAATGTTTAACTTTTATATAATATTTATGCTTCATAACTATAAAAATTGTTAAATTAAAAATAAAATCCTAGGTTTCAAAGTGAAGATAATTATTTAAACACAATAAAATTTTAACAAATTGATTATTTAAAAATTATAAATATTTACCATGTATAATATATACAAATAAATCCAATTAAGTGTTTAACCCTTGATTTAAATGGTTTAAAATCATAGTGACAAATAAATGAATCCATTAATAAAAACACGATAGGCCCTGTGTGCTAAATATGTATTTATATACAATTAAATAAAACAATAGATATTACTAATATATTATTATGCCAAGATGGAATATATTCATCAAGGAATTTCGGATAGACTAATTCCCTGTCTACAGCATATAAAGCCCAAAATAAAATGGAAACAGCCTGTTTAAAAATTAGATCTAATCAGATAATAAATTTACAGTTCCCATTGGAAAAGCATAAGTAGTGCATATGTAATCTCTAATTTTCTTTAAATTCTTAGATTTTTCTTCATTTATTTTGAAAATAAGATCATACAGTGTAGCAATTCCAAAATATAAGGTTTGCACACACTAAAAATAAACTTTTATTAATGATTGAATTGATTATAAAGATTAATTATTATATAGATTTCGTTACCAGGCACCATATAGTTAAATATTTGCATTCACCGGCATATGTTCTAATAGAGAGTAATTTTAAACTAAAGAAGTGGTAATATAGATCTAAAAGATAAATCCAAAATATTAAATTATGGAATATTAAAGAAATATAAGTTTTTTTCGAATGCTGTTCATTCATCAAAATTTATTTTAATAAATTAACGCGATTGAAGAAAATTAATAAGCGTGATATAGCGCGAGGTCGCTCAAGTGATATGTGACTCATCACTAAACGGTAGCATATTATACGAATTTGGCTATCAAAAAATATGTTATATATAATCGAATTTTTTTATTACGAATATAGATAAATTCTTTATTTAAATTATAAATTTCCTTATATCTTTCATTTTTTCGTTTTATTTGGCTGTATTTTTTTTTGAAAAGATTTTATTCGCTTGCGATATTTCATTTTCCATATCTTGGTGATCTGGGATCGACTTTGATATCAAAGGTCCAATAATATTTATAAACACTCCATTTTACTATTTAACATTGTGATGAATAAGGTTATTAAAGATACCTCAGGAACGGCTAACGTAATGGAGTTAGACTAGGACAAAACGATAGTCGGATTCTCAAACATAGAATAATCTTGTACGAAGACGATATATCATTTATAAAGAAAAATATAGACAAAACAAGAAATCTCATGGAAATACTCAAGCATTTTAGCAAAAAGTTCGGCTCGATATAAATGTCAAGAAAAATAAAATTCGTTATTAGGAGGAACTAAAAATTAGGTTACAGAGTGCAAGGAGGACTGGAACTAAAGATTAGGCTACAGAGTGCAAGGAGGGATTTCTCTAAATACTTTTAGGGAGATCTCGGTTTCATGAAACATAGGATATTTAACCTAAAGAGTATCGCTATCTTACTTTATGGAGGCGAAAAAGTAGAATCCTTTATCAATACCAGCTTAAGAATAATAAATGGAATCTGTTAGAGATAATTATTTAAAATTAAATAAAATTAAAATAAAATAAATAATTTTATTAATTAAAATAAGATTAAAATAATTAGAATATATGAATACATCGCGATTTCTACTGATGACCTTTTATAAATATATCGCTTATGACCTTTTATAATTATATCGCTTATAACCTTTTATAAGTATATCGCTTACGACCTTTTATATAATATATCGCTTAATTATTTTATAAAACTATATAAACTTTAAAATTTAGACATGTTCAATAATGTTGAATTAATTTTTTATAAATAAATTTTTGTGTTCTCATCTTTGCCTGCCACCATTTCTATTTAATATGGTGGCAGCGGTAAATGTTCATTAATAAATTTTTAAAAAAAAATTTCTGATATTTTTTTGACCAAAATATATTAAATAAATATAAACTTAAGACGTATGGGCACAAGCTATAGATGAGAACGTTAAAGATAAGATTATTATTGAATAACATTTTGCAAAAGCTAACTATGATGAAGAAAATTTAAACCAACCCTTGGCGAAAAATGATTATTATACCACTCTAAAACTAAGTATGATGACGAAAATTTAAACCAACCCCTGGAAAATGATTCTTATACGACTCTAAAGCTAACTATAATGACGAAAATTCAAACCAACCCCCTGGCGAAAACGATTCTATAAACTCCGATTAATGATGAATTTAACATGCCAATTTGAAATAATAATATAGTACTGATGTGATATTATTTATGACAAGATATGATATAGTTTATAAATTTCGATAAAACCAAACTATCCTACCTTACTTTCAAGATTTTCAAGGAGGGGAAAGTTAAGGAAAAATTTAAAGTAAAAAAAAATTAAAATAAATAATTTAAAATAATTAATTTAAAAAAAAAAATTAAAAAATAATAAAACATTTAAAGTAAATTGAAAATTTAAGTTGATATTCTTAAATTAATAATATTTAAAATAAAGATTTAAAATATATTCATAAATTAATGTTTAAAATGAAACTTAAAATTTATGAAGAATATATTGGAATATCCATAAAATAATGTTTAAAATGAAAATTAAAATTTATGAAGAATATATTGGAATATCCATAAATTAATGTTTAAAATGAAAATTAAAATTTATGAAGAATATATTGGAATATCCATAATTAAAATTAAAGAATATAAACTTGATAAAATTTGTGAAAAATATATTCATAATTGAAATTAAAGAATATAAACTTGATAAAATTTGTTAAAAATAAACTGGAATATCCATAATTGAAATTAAAAAACTTTACAAAATTTGTTAAAAATAAATTGGAATATCCATAATTGAAATTAAAGAATATAAACTTGATGTAACTATTCTCAAATTGTGACAACTTAATAAACACCACGATGATGCTATTTTATCTCAAATTAACACGTGGTACGGATTACCAAGACGATGATGATTATACTACTAAAGTTATTGATGCCACAAATTGGCATAAAAACAAGACAGATCAACAACCAATTGAACCGACGACCGCAGTAACTGGACTTATCAGAGAGGGAAATGTTAGAGATAATTATTTAAAATAAAATTAAAATAAAATAAAAAAATTATATTAATTAAAATAAGATTAAAATAATTATATTATATGAATACATCGCGATTTCTACTGATGACCTTTTATAAATATATCGCTTATGACCTTTTATAATTATATCGCTTATAACCTTTTATAAATATATCGCTTACGACCTTTTATAAAATATATCGCGACTTTTACAAACTTATTTTATTTTATTTTATTTATTTTATATTCAAATTCATATTATTTTATAAAACTATATAAACTTTAAAATTTAGACATATGTTGAATTAATTTTTTATAAATAAATTTTTGTGTTCTCATCTTTGCCTGACACTGTGTCTATTTAACAGAATCTTTATTCGATTACGGTCTTGAATGATAGACTATGTAAAATATCCAAACATTGTCCAGTACAGATGTCCCTAAAGAAAAGGCGTATTATAAGAAACACCAACCATAATTTAGCCCATGACTCGATAACGTGGTTATGTCCTTTCAATTAATAATAAAAGGCTGTGATTATATCAATGACATATATGTCATTGGATTATATAAAACGACAAAAGATATAATGGGATTGGGCTAATGATATTTGGATTGGACATAAATATGAAACAATTTATAAGACTAAATGATAATAAGTATCGATAAAAAAACTATTCAAAGTTATAGAAAAATATCTTAAATAACCCGAAGACAACATGTAGATATCATTCAGTACGTACTCCGGGATTGAAAATTTGGATACTCAAGGTTTTTAAATCTCAAACTACCTTACTTAAAGTTTCGTGATATACAAATTTAAAATTAAAACCAGCCCAATCCCCCCATAGATTAATAAATTAATCTGTAGTCCAAGGGTGTGGGTGTAAACTTTTGATTAGTATAACGTCCTATTTAACGAGCCTACAGACGTTTAAATAATAGTCCTAGGGCTATTAGGCATACAAGTACGTGTAACTTGCCCACAAACGTTTAGAGGCTAGATGGATATGAGGCATACCTAACGTATCTATATTGTATCCACAACTAGAAGGCATATACTATTTAAATTCACGTATCACGGAAATTTGAAAACCAAATTATACTTGGTATATCGACAATGGTGCGGCCCATCGGATGAAGTTATGAAGGTATTCAAAATAATGAAATGCAGCGAAAGCAGTTTGGGACTACGAATTTATCAAGACAAGAGCGAATATTGTCCTCTTGAGATCATTGACCTTAACCGGATCCTATTTTCAATCATACATCATTGAACGCTTTAACACATCTTAGATCTCCAGTAAAAAGACGAGTCCTTTAACAAGTTATTCGTCCATATTTTATGAAGGATATCCCTCATGCGCGATACACTATCCCGACTCCCAGCCCACCATGCTTTCTTCCTATTGAAGAACTACCTTCTAATCCCAAGAATTATATATAAACTCCGCATTACGAATCTTTCAATATGATGTCAAACTCATTGCGCATGAGCTCGAGATTAAACGCCTCACAGAAGATACATTCAATCTTAAATTTGGAGACCTATCTTGGTTACAGGCTACCTTACCAACCAAATCGGGCGGCATTAGCATAAGGTCGTCTTACCTACTTTCCGTTAGTGCGTTCATATCCTCTCGCCTGTCTTGCGAGCCCATCATACACACACTCACAAAACACCCGTGCCCTTGCTTCTGCAAGCAATGGATCCGGAAGTCTCTCTCATTAGTCGATCCTCCCTCAATGGCACTAGAGAAAGACGGAATAAGCCTTTAGTTGGCAACTCGGCTGCCTACTTTAAAGCGAATAGACAACCTGATGACCATTCTCTACACTTCTCCATTTCCGCAAACAGCGGGTACGAATTTCTCAAGGCTTTCCCATGGCGAAACCTAACCAGCTCCTAAGCAATGATAAGCTTCGTCACGCTATAAGCCTTAGACTTAATTGTGATATAGAAATACCCTATCGTCAAACTTGGTTAATTTCTAAGGCCATCACTCTTTTCACTGCAACCGCTGAGGCAGATACATTAGGCATTCAAAATGCAATGATACTATTGCCAGGTCCTTAAAATCTGCCGGCATCCCATCAACCCTCGAAAGCGGGCTGATGGTTCTACCATGATCCCTTGGTAGAAAGAGGAATTCCTAACCTAGGATTTCTCATGCATCGATTCTCTTGCCCCTTACAATATAAATAGAGATGCTCTATTAGTCGACGGGACGAATAAACTGGCTAAATATTCGCCATCGCTTCCTGCCAACTATACATTCCTACCACTAATCGCCACGACTCTAACATCGTTCGGTTCTCATGTCCTGGTCTTCTTTAAAGAGCTGGGAAAATGGATCTCTGCTAGGACCTAGGATCCCAACGAGAGATTCTATCTACGTCAAATATGTTAGCCCTAAACATAATGAAATGCAACTATCTCAGCTTTATACTATCAATGACCGAAACCCTCTAATTGAACATCCTAACCATGGGATGGACTTAGACTATTTTGCTCCCAATTATAAAGTTGAAGCTAAAAGGGAACTTGGATCTCAATCAATAAAAGACAGCAAAAATTAATGACTTTATATAATTGTGATTTACTAATATTTCTTTTTTTTTCCAATAATTGGGAAAATTATAACTTATTTTGTAATTTATAATCATTTTTGACTTAAATACTAAGCTTTTCTATTAATTAAATTTTAATTAATAAGTTGAAATAATA